ACAACTTTGCCTGAACCTTGTGGATTGATATAATATTCTCCAACCCTTAATCACAAAATCACAACCCTAACTAAGATTAAGTAGGTTTTTCTTAAAAGAAATCTTAGCCATCGAGAAAGTACATCATTCTAACGAATTGATATACTCTCTCTCCAATCCGTCTATCCCGACAACATATGCCCCAAAATTAGGATAACCCACAAATATCGTAAGAACTATCAGTTTAGGAAACAAAAATTCTAACCCTTGTATTTTGCAAGCATCATTCTAAACCTTATGTCAAGAGTTAATGTAGGCATTAAACATTAATACTCCACAATTGTTTAGTCAAAAATGAAAGATACGATCATGTAATCACATCACACAAACAAGAAATAGGATAATTTAGATCGAAAAAACAAACGAGAAAAAAGGCAATTACCACAAAACAAAAACTAAATTTTAAGCGAAAATTTTCCAAAACACGGAACGCAGTTTCGGAATCCGACACAACTACAAAACAAGAACTCCAGGATCTAAAAGAATCAATTGACAAAAATAACCTAATCACCGAGAATCAGAATCCACAACACCATCATCAATAAAAGGTAAACGCAGAATAAAAAATAGATACCTTCGAAAGCCAGTAAGACTCTACAATTGGAATCAACCAATCAGGCATATTGGAAGTTAGACAATAACTGTAATCGCACTCAAAAAATGATTCAATACGACCTAATTTTTGAAAATGACTCTATCCTCCCCGTTGTTATTCATCCACAAAGCGATCCTGTTAGAGGACAGGTACAATTTTGTCATAATTTAATTGAAAGTTTATTTGAAAAAGGAAATAGCCCATGTAAGCAAGAATTTCCTGAAGTCAAAATTAGAAGAGACATACTCGATCACTATCTACCAGACATCAGTCATATCACATCACACCATGGTCTTTTACTTAAATTATTACCACCACAACCAGCAAACCACTCAACGCACCGGATACAAACAGATGATGTAGAATTACCTTTCTCAAACGTTTTCACAGAATATATCAAAAATATTCAACATCAAATTTCTCAAAGAGCAAACTCAATATTCGCAAACAAGGTTTTCGCTCTCATTTATAGTTATGTATCTATACCAGAATCAAATGACACATTTTACGTATCACCCCTACAAACATCTCGACAAGCAAAAGTAAGACACGAAGTAAATCTTTTTTCGCAATTTTCAGAATCAATTCGTGAGACAATCACAAATAGCGATTTATCATAAATAGTAACAGTTGATCTACAAAGAATCCTAGCATCGTTCAAATAAGTAATTTTCCACACAGTTTCAGATTTAATACCGCCAGCAAGACAAAAGCAGAATTGTGATGCTTTCTCCAAAATGAGACATTTAATATCGAGAGGGGTCATGATTAACCCCAATTTTGCGTGCTTCTGATGATGTCAAACATCATTTTAGTGATATTTTAAAATTTCAATGGCTTATAGTACTCTTTTTTTTTGAGAAATTGCACTTTTTCTAAGATTTTTTTTATGACCAAATAAAATCTTAGCGTAAAAATCTTCTGTTTCTCAAAACTTCCTTTTTAAAAAAAATTCTGGACTCATTCGAAGTGCTATCACAAGTATTAATTAACTCCAATTCTACTCCGATTTCTTGACTGCTCAATACATGCAGCTTTTCGTGAAATCTTAAATTTGATTGAGATTTCTAGATGTCCTTAATGACGTGGCAATTTAAAATTAATAATAAATTCGGTTTTTTCTTCAGTACTGTGGGAGTTGGTCGATAATTTTGTGCATTTAATGGAAAGATATGGTGGCTCAAAACCTGTAGCTTTTGAGCCTAATTGTTTTGAATGACAAAATCAACTGAAGAGAAAACATTTTATGACTTTTTTACATTCTTTTTCTTTTTGGGGTGCTACGGCAAGAGTTCAGTATTTCTCTGCTTTTTGTCGAAAGATATGACAGCCCTCTTTATTGTCTTTTTGAATTATATCGCTTTTTCTGACAATAACGGTAGGCTCCCAGTGGGAGTATAAACCAATTATATCTTGTATAACAAGACCTATTAACTAACTTAGATTTAGCAAATTAAACATAGAAATAAGATCAAGAAATACATTGCAAAATGTTAGATAACATAGACAACTTAATAAGTATGTCTCTACGTCCCAACACGTCTACTCCAATTTTTCAAACGATACGGCAAACACTAGGTCAAAAACTGAATAGCAGACAATTTTTACATAGCGTGAAACGACGCAAAATCAAATGGTTTTTTCTCTACAAAGTTTTCAGTGCAGTAGATTTTCATTCTCTATCATGAAATAAAAATTACTTGGAGCAATAAGATTCTTTTCCAAGCCATATACTTCTTGATGCTTTATAATCATATCATATTAACATAATAACGACTGATGAAAAGATACACAATTCGTTCCTTTCATCAAATCTCCAGCAATTTTGAAACTTCTGTAAAATTAAAATTTATTGAATAGAAATACAAAAATTAGTTAGTAGTAAAATTAAAGTTAGTTTTGTTAAATTTATCAGAGTTTCTTGCTTCTCAAGATACCTCATCCTTTCACTTTTTCACCTTCTACCCATTCTTCCATCCTTGTTTCCTCATCTAAAACAAAACTATAATTATTCGAAAACTAATATCGTTCAATTTTTTTTTAATATTTAAAGCAACTCTTTCTAAATTTTTAAATATTTTACCTAACTGAAATCTTTTACTTACTTATCAAGGCCTATCCTTGCTTTGTAGTAATCTAATTTCCCCTTACAACAGATCATCAAGTCTATCCTTGGATCTTTGAGTTTTAACTTTAAATTAATTTTTAATTCATTAAAAAACTATTTGATCATCAAGTCTTCCCTTGGATCAATCAGAACAAATATTGTTCTCCCAACCCCCTAGAAAAAAGTGTCTAACCAGATCATACGTCGATTCACTCTCCAACCCTTATCAACGACCCAGGAATAAATGAAATTACCCATTTTAATTCGGTTAAAGTGACGAACTTCTGTTACTCACCCTTCATCTGAGCCCCTCCTCTTAGCTGACTCAGACTAAATGACATCATAAACTTAGTTAGACCTATAATAGAACCTTGCGATCTACTTGTGTTACAACTATGCCTGAACCTTGTGGATTGATTTAATGTTCTCCAACCCTTAATCACAAAATCACAACCCTAAGTAAGATTAAGTAGGTTTTTCTTAAAAGAAATCTTAGCCATCGAGAAAGTACATCATTCTAACGAATTGATGTACTCTCTCTCCAATCCGTCTATCTCGACAACATATGCCCCAAAAATAGGATAACCCACAAATATCGTAAGAACTATTAGTTTAGGAAACGAAAATTCTAACCCCTGGATTTTGCAAGCATCATTCTAAACCTTATGTCAAGAGTTAATTTAGGCATTAAACATTAATACTCCACAATTGTTTAATTAAAAATGAAAGATACGATCTTGTAATCACATCACACGAACAAGAAATAGGATATATTAGATCGAAAAAAAACAAACGAGAAAAAAGGCAGTTACAACAAAACAAAAAATTTTCAAGCGAATTTTTTCCAAAACACGAAACGCAGTTTCGGAATCCGACACAACTACAATACAAGAACTCCAAGATCTAAAAAGAATCAATCGACAAAAATAACCCAATCACCGAGAATCAGAATCCACAACACCATTATCAATAAAAGGTAAACGCAGAATAAAAAACACATACCTTCGAAAGCCAGTAAGACTCTACAATTGGAATCAACCAATCAGGCATATTGAAAGTTAGACAATAACTGTAATCGCACACAAAAAATTATTCAATACGACCTAAATTTTGAAAATGACTCTATCTTCCCCGTTGTTATTCATCCACAAAGCGATCCCGCTAGAGGACAGGTACAATTTTGTCATATTTTAATTGAAAATTTATATGAAAAAGGAAATAGCCCATGTAAGCAAGAATTTCCTGAAGTCAAAATTAGAAGACACATACTCGATCACTATCTACCAGGCATCAGTAATATCACATCACTCCATGGTTTTTTACTTAAAATATTACCACCACAACCAGCAAACCACTCACCGCACCGGATACAAACAGATGATGTAGAATTACCTTTCTCAAACGTTTTCACAGAATATATCAAAAATATTCAACATCAAATTTCTCAAAGAGCAAACTCAATATTCGCAAACAAGGTTTTTGCTCCTATTTATAGTTATGTATCTATACTAGAATCAAATGACACATTTTACGTATCACCACTACAAACATCTCGACAAGCAAAAGTAAGACACGAAATAAATCTTTTTTTTTTGCAATTTTCAGAATCAATTCGTGAGACAATCACAAATAACGATATAGCATAAATAGTAACAGTTGATCTAAAAAGAGTTCTAGCATCGTTCAAATAGATAATTTTCAACACAGTTTTAGATTTAATATCGCCAGCAAGACAAAACTTCCGACCATAAACTCCAAATGATGAAACAGTATTAGCAGACAAAACAGATTTTGATATTCCTAAAGATATTACATATGCAGCATTTGCCAATGTCTCCGTGCGCAAAAATTACCTAAAAGTAACTCCACTCACCTTTGATGCAACACCCTTTAACGATAGCGTGACGAACAGACGGTGTACCTTATTAGAAATTACTCTATGAGTGAGCCCATCAGACTTAAACTCACTTTATCTATCCTTTCCTTAATCTAAAAGTCATGGATAAATATAATTTTTATAAACTATTTGTTTGATTTTGTTGTTATCATGTGTACTAGTTTGGAGAAATAAAATCGTTCTTTCTTTCTTTCTTTCTTTTTTTTTTAAATTATAGTTATTCCATTTGGTATCGCAAGTCTCTCATCCACTCTTCTCCCAAAGTACATAAGTAGATGTTTCGAGACTGGCTTGTCTTGATAATAGAAAAGAGTAGAAAAAGCTGGCTAGTCTTGTGAATTGCGTTCCTTGGGACGTTTCAGCCAACATGTGCGATCTAAAGGACGGAGATGAGATACTTAGTGTGAATGGACATGCAGTAGCCAGTTTGAATCATCACGAGGAAGTGGTTAAAGTAATGTCTGCAGCCATACAGTCGGGGAACATATGTCTGCAGGTGAACCGCATGGGTTCAGAAGGCAAGTAAAGAACAACCAACTGTCCAAATTTGTCAAGATTCAAAAAACAATCTTACTTGCGGCAACACGTTTTCCGTGTTGTCGCTACCAAGCATTATCCTCCATGAACATGCAAAAACGCTGTCTTCATGTTTTAGTTAATTGCTCATCAGCGGACAAATTAAACGATGGAAACGAGGATATTCATGTTGAAACAAGAAAGCCTAATAATGAGGAGTTCAGATCAGAAGTCAGTTCCTTCGTTTAAAATGTTTTTGCTTCAAAATTGTTTGTAAACTCCTTAATATGTTGTCAGGTTTTGGATTTGAATAAGATTGGTGTCGCCAAAGAGAATGTAGACATAGTAGAAGCAGATCAAATTCTGCTCGAAGACGCCGAGGAAGAATTTGCTCCAAATGCTGCTTCTGTGGACGATTTGATTATTTTTCGCTCATCGCAGAACACGGATTGTCTGTCTCAACCGTAAGCACCAGGAGCCTTAGGATGTTATTCTTGGAATATTTTTCGCCCCACCTTGAAATTCTTCTAACAGTTTTTGTAAGTTTCTGACAAATGAAATTCCTTAAAACGCCCTGATTGGTTGATAAACGATATACACCCCTCCATATTCCGGAGCGACCCAATATGTTCTCAGTAGTTGTAGATCAGGATTGTGATCTACACTTGCTAAAACGGAAACTTTCAATGGACCGAAAAGACTGGGATACAAAGTAATTTATACCTATTGAGTTAAGATGGGAGGTCAACTCATAGAGTAATTTCAGATGTACACCGTCTGCTCGTCACACTGCTCATCTTATTTTCGGCCGGATAGATTCGTGCAACTTCTTTGTCTTATACCGATCTTAATCTTACTCTTATATCTCTTAGTCTCAATAGATCTAGAATATACTGGTTTTGTTACGGGGGGGGGGGGAGGAGGTGGCTGACCCCCATGTATTAACATAGGCTATAGAGTATCCGGTCAGTATCCTATGTTAATACATGGGGGTCAGCCACATCCCCCCCCCCACTTCAATAATAATAATAACCAATAATAATAATATTAACCAATAATAATAGTATTAGATGTTGTAGCTCAAGTAGGGGGGGGGGGGGGGGGGGGGAGCTGGCTGACCCCCATGTATTAACATAGGCTATAGAGTATCGGGTCAGCCACCTATGTATTAAGATAGGGTATAGAGTCTACAATGTATAAGGATAAGGAAAAGCAATGGTAAGGCAAAAGCATTCTACTCCGGTCAGTATCCTATACATGGGGGTCAGCCACCTCCTCCCCCCCCCCTTCAATAATAATAATAACCAATAATAATAATAATAACCAATAATAATAGTAGTAGATGTTGGAGCTCAAGTGGGGGGGGGGAGGAGGCTGACCCCCATGTATTAACATAGGCTATAGAGTATCCGGTCAGCCACCTATGTATTAAGGTAGGGTATAGAGTCTACAATGTATAAGGATAAGGAAAAGCAATGGTAAGGCAAAAGCATTCTACTCTGGTGAGTAGTAGATGTTGGAGCTGAAGTGGGGGGATGTGGCTGACCCTCATGTATTAACATAGGCTATAGAGTATCCGGTAAGGTTTTATGGTTTGTTTGATGGTAAGATAATGGTAAAAAAAACGAAAATTTTTTGGTTTTTTGCGAAAATGTCTAATTTTTTCGCAAAAATCTCGGCGCGCGTTTCCTAATTGGGAACAATTGATTGTTAATTACATGTAGATTGTAGAATTAAGGTTATATATTTTTTAGTTTTTTGATATATGGTAAGTCGATGGTGAAAATTTTTTCGAAAAAATTCAAAACACGATAAGATTAGCTATTATTTGACCTAATTTTTTAGATAATCCTACTTTCTATCTAAATGAAACGATAATCTTACTTTCTATCTAATTGAAACAATGCTGAAACCTACAGAGACTTCGAAAAAAAATCAAATTTTTTGAGAGAAAAAAAAATTCAATTACAAAAAAGTATATAAATCACTGCATTGTATAACAAGTTTACCGCAACATTTTACATTCTAATATCATAAAACCAATATAACACGACATCATGAATATTTTTACTACACCAGATCAGTACTTATAAGTTCAATGGTTTCGTATGAATTTCATCATCTTGTACTTGTCTTTTTGGATAAAAATAGCTTAGTCCTTTCTTTGTCTGTTCATATGTGGCCACCATATGATTTATAGTTCTGAATCCTCTGTTAGTAGATGTAAGATTAATTGCTTCATCAAGCACTCTCCTGTATTTTGACATGGGACCGTCTCCAGAATCTTCTAGAACCCGTTTATTTAATCCTTTACTGCTAAATTTGAACTTATCGGACTTGTTGTCATAGCAGCAATATGTCTTGCTACACAAACATAGCATTTTTGTACATCTAAATTCTTCTTTAAAAAGTCCCGGCTCCCGCTTATCATGCTTTTTATGCGTACTGCAACACGTTCGTGGGAAGAAATTAGATTTTGCATCCGCCTTGAAAGAGTCTCTACAGTCATTTCCCCTCATTTTTTCCCAAGCATCTCTCTTAGCTGGTTTGATACAGTCGTATAAATTTTCTTCGGCAAGTTCCAAGTAAAGTGAGTATGTGTCCATCTCCAACTCTTCAAATTTATTCACATCACAGAACTTGTCAAAGCAGTTATAGTAGAGTTCCAACATTCTCAGTTTTGCATACTGAAGTATGAAAAAACCAACAATGATGGGTTCTCGGTGCTCAATGGTTGATTTCAATAACTTCACCTCATATCAGTCCTTCTCAACTGTGTTAAGTCTCTTAAACAGTGGTTCATTGATTGCCTTATGGGTTTTTTCATCGTTCAGATATTTTGTGATTGTATGTCTCGATCTATCCATGATCTGATATCCATACGAAGAATTACCCAAAAGTTTCATTGTTTCTGCTACAACTCCTGACAAAGGGTTTTCATCTCCTTCTCTTCTAGCATCAACCACTGACTGAACGAAATTATTAAAGCATTTCCGAGGAGAATTTTGAACAAATCGGTAAATTTTGGTGCACTGCAATCCAAGTTCCATATAAAAGTTGAAGAGAGGAGTTATAACTGTTCCATTTTCCAGCTTGAAACTAGATATCAGCATTCCCTGAGGATGCTTTAACATTTCGTTCTCGATCGCATAGTTTTTCATGTAATCTCCGATATCATCTCTTCCAACCTCAGTATTTTTGAAAATTGGAGGAAAATTTGCATCTGGAACAACTAAGTCGCACTGAACGTAGCCAAAAAGAGATCCATCTTTTATTTTTGCTAGAAGGGAGTCTCTAGAAAGAGGTCTTCTATTGGGAAAGCGGGTTCTGACGTGAGTTTTGATCTTCTCATTGGTTTTGAAACTTTCCCACCAGTCACACTCCCACATTTCTTCCATTTTCTATCCTTTCTCTTTAATGTATTCTCGTCGCATATCATCCATCTCTCTCTTCTTGTTTCCTCGCTCAATATCCTGTTCTGTTAAGGAGGGACGTGCTTCTTGACAGGAAAAGAAGTGGTAGTAGCACATCATTGCTTCAAACACTGTCTTACAGTGATCACAATAACCGTCCACATTAAAACAGTTGATTTTTTTCTGTTTTCCAGATGTAAAAAAGCTCTCAAGTTTACATTCTGGTCTTGATTCTTGATAAAAAGACATGACCATGTTCTCAAAGTTGCGAGTTCGATTATGTCTAGTCTTGAATTTCTGCATTTCATTGTCAAACTCCCATCTCGTGTACAGTCCTGTTGGCATATTTTGACACATTGAGAAAGGGTAAAGCTGGCTTGCATCAATTCCAACGATTGATTTACAAACATTTGATGAGTTTCTGATGTATGTTTCATCAACTACAGCTTTTCGAGTAAAAACAATAGAAGGTCCACCAGTCATGTCCTCTCTAATTTTTTCACACAAGTCTTTATCACTTTCGCAAAATGGATAAAACTTGTAATTTGTGGATTTGTGTAGACAAATGTTTGCTAGATTTGGAAGTGGGCAACCAAGTTTTAACATATCTATACCCTTGTTATGGTAAAACTGAATCATTTTTTGCATTGCCTCCAGGGTTGCAACTACATCTTTGTTGTTGTACCACTTCAAAAAGTCTTTGAACACTGTCATTCCATTTTTCTTCCAAGTCTCTTGTAAGTAATTGTAATTATCCAAGCCAGATGGAGGAACAGTCTTGATTTGAAGCTTTTTCAGTGCCTGTTGTTCGTCAAATCCACTTTTTCTAAGCTTCTCATAATCAATGAAGTCTTTGTCTAGAGGATTGTTGTTTCTAAGTTTACTGAAAAAGGCTTCATACGGTGGCAATTCAGGAAAGTCAAGTTTGTCTGGGTTATCAAACCACTCATGGGGAAAGAATCCTTTCGTTTCGCTAGCTTTATAGGCTTTGAGAAATGAGTCCAGAGTAGTTGCCCCTCCCAGAAATTTCATTATGTCGAGAAATTGTACATCTCCAAACTTGAAAGATATAAAGTCATTTGCTTTTTTGATGACGGATGTTTCTTGTTCTTTATCAAATTTAAATCATATCTACCGCTGTTAAATCCAAAAACAGGTAAAGTATTTACATATCTCTCCAGATGTTGTTTCAAATCAATGAGTTGATTTTTCTGAATTCGCAAGAATTGTATTGACATATCTGCTTCTTCTAAATCTTCAATGCTTTCGTCTTCTTACTCAAAATTGTTACTTGAAAAGTTTTTACCACGTTCGTTCAGCTGATCAAAGATCTTTTTCATTCTTTCATTCATAGCTACTTCAATATCTTGAAATTTTTTCTCATTTCTAGCTTACTTTGTTGAGCTAACAGTTCGAGGTTGGATACAAAATTAATTATCAAGTTCTGTGGATCCTTGTTGTACAAAAAGATGGGTTCATCAATCAGATTCGATGATATAGAGACTGAAATGGGGACATGTTTTCCAATCCAGGTAGTAGTTTGCGTCTCTTTTAGTTCCTCTGTAGGAACACAAATCGACTCAAAGTCGAAAATTGCCAGATTATTGAAAAGCTTGTTGTCTTCAGAAACTGGAAGACTGAATCCTTCTAGCTTTTCAAACAAGGTTTCGGGAAGCTCATAGACGTTCTTTGGGTAAAAATGTTTCACTCGGTCCTTGCATCTCAGAAGATGTTTGTTAAAATTGTCGGATTTAATCAAAAAAATGTCACAATTAGGACACCGGAAACACTTGAAGAAAGAATCATTATCATTTGTGTGAATGATATGATTGTTAAACCTCAGTAATTTGACTGTTTTGTCGAATCTTCCGGTACTTCGTCGAGCTAGTTCTCCTACATATTCTCCTTCTTGGATATCGAAATCGTATATAAAAATGTTTCTTTGCACAATTTCCTCGACAACAGGTAAGTCTTCTACAGAAACTCCACGAAAAATTTTAGGTTCATAACCAGATTTTGATATAAAATGTGTAAAGTATCTGGAAACGTGA